ACACACACACACACACACACACACACACACACACACACACACACACACACACACACACACACACACAACCGCGCACGCACACAGACTGTTACATGCCCAGTTGGGCGATGTACATAATAACCGAGGATCCACAATGTGATAAAAAGGACTGAATGGACGATGCAGTGCAAGTAGAATCTCAACAAGCAATGTGCATTCCGATACATACAAGATGGTGCTTTATAGCGCAGTGGAAGACTTAGATACAAGTCCTGACCTGACCGGGAGTGATTTCTCTTACGTAGTACAAAATAGCGCAGCAGAATACTAGAATACTAATGACTAACCCAGTCAATGTTACAACGCAGACCAAACATACATCATTTTCACCACACTGTGTGAAGGGAGCCTGGCGCTATACACAGGAAGAGGCGCCAGGTCCATTTCATGCACAGACAAAGAGGAGAGGATCAGACGGAGAAGAGGAGGGGAGAGATCGGAAAGTCCTTAACACCGAGTCTCGTTACAAGTCCCAAATAATCCCTCGTCAAATGTCTGAAGTCCAATGTCGAGTCTGGATCCAACTGTCACAACGCTCTCTCTCTCTCTCTCTCTCATAGTCTGCTGATGCAGCGAAGTCAGATATCGAGAGGGTGAGAGGGAGATGGTGGACTGAGAAGAGGAAGAAGAAGAACTCTCTCTCTCTCTCTAATGCCAGGTACTAACCTGTGAAGATGGCGCTGTGCTGCAGGTACCTCGAAGACGAAGCTGGAACAATGGTGCTGCAGGTAAGTCTCTCTGGCCTCCGCCCAATCTCGCTCCCTATAGTACTACTCTAGCTATGGCGCCCAGCACTGAAGACTACAGCTAACGCTACTAGCGTCCAGCGCTGAAGACTACTGCTAACGCTACTACTACTCCTGCAGTGCTCCTCCAGAGTGCGGCTGCCGAATCCTGAAGACTACCTCCTGCCTCCTGAACTGCATGTGAAGTGCCTGGGAAGTACCTAGGAACTACCTGCGGGCCTGCAGGGTGGGCCAGTCCTATATAGTGCTGGCCCGTCCAGGAGGCTGCTCTTGCCAATGCCTCAACGTGCCAGACCCTGGGGTTGAAGCTCAAACAAAGGTTGTCTTGAAAATAGGCCAGAAATGGCCTGAGCTAAGACCCTGGTCTGGTGCCTGAGTTTCGGGGCAGGCCGAACTCATGAGGGCCCAGAAATGGCCCTCAGTTTCAGGCTGAAAACACTCAGGGCCGGAAAGGCCCTGATTTAGCCTGAAACGACACAGGGCCTGTAGGCCCTTGTTTTCAGGCTTTCAGGCTGAAACGACACAGGGCCTGTGGGCCCTTGTTTTCAGGCTTTTGGCCTGAAAACGTCACGGGCCTGGAAATGGCCAGCGCAGCCTGTTGCAGGCGCAGCATGTAACACCCCCCCCTCCTTATGAAGTCAAGCCGGGGCGAGGGTGAAGACCGTGAAGTTGACGATCTGAAGGTGGAACCTGGATGCGGGCACGACGTGGAGCCGAAGTTCTGGCTTGCCTTGCATCTTTCATTCGTAGCGTGCGAGAACATCCGGAGCTGTGGCTTGGAGTTCCGCACGGGTTAACCAACGGTCAGCTTTGCGACTGCAGTACACAAAATGTACCGAGTACTCGGTTGTCCTATTGTCGTAGCATCACTGGGAGATGATGTCGCCGACCTCTTGAAAACCGTCCATAGAGGGTGAATCTTGCGATCGTCGCCCCGAAAAATCATCATGTTCCGCTGGCGTGTAAAGAGTCAACTTGGAGCAATGAAAGACCGGGTGGACGAGCAAGTGGGCGGGCACCTGAATGGTGAAGGAAGGTCCCTCGGATGCATCCCCAACGGGTGCCACGATCGGCCAAGGCCCCATCCATTTCAGGAGGAGCTTGCGAGAGATATCTTATTCAAGGCTGAATTCCGCGGCGGAAACCCAAACGAGATCGCCGGTGTGGAATGGGCAAGGAAGACGCTGGCGATTGGCCTGTTGGCTCATGTGTTGCTGCGTCTAGGCCATCTGGTCGCATGCCTTGACAAGTAGCTCTTGCATCCGACACAAGAAAAGAAGATGGTCGTCGCTCTTGGCCATTCGTGGAATGATTGTGTCCAACGGAGAAGTGACCGGCGAGCCGTGCTCGAACTCGAAGGGCGACATCCGATAGCCGGGTGGATGGACGAGTTGTATGCCAACTCGACATCCGACAGCCGCTCAACCCAATCCTTTTGGTCGGGACGGATGACAGTGCGAAGGAGAACCTATGCGGTTTGATGCGCCCTCTCTGTTTGGCCATCCATTTGCGGGTGGCGAGCCGAACTTGGCTTGAGAGATGAGCCCCATCGTTTGATGAGCGCCAACCAAAAATCGGACATGAACCGAGTGTCGCGGTCGCAGACGATTTCCTTGGGGTAACCCATTGGTTTGAATCCAACGAGCGTAAAGAACCTCGGCCAACTCCGGTGGTTTGGCATGATAGCGGCAAGGCAAAAACATGGCAAACTTGGTGAGTCGGTCAACCACCGTAAGAATCCCATCCACACCGGTCTTGTGCTTGGGGAACGGTCCGGTAATGTCCATGGCAATCGCTTCCCTTCGGCGCAAGGGGACCGGTAGCGGTCGCAGCTCGCCGTACGGACGACGGCCGCGGGATTTGCAACGTCGACAAACCTCGCATGACTCGCAATAACGTGTGACGTTGTCGAGAAGACCGGGCCACCAAAAGCGCTCGCGGAGTCGGCCAATCGTATGATTGACTCCAATGTGTACGGTGGCGGAAGCGTCATGGAACTCGCCAATAAGTTGTGCGTGCAGGTGTAGATCTCGTGACACACAAAGAAGATCCTTCCCTCGCGAGCGGACGAGCAAGTACCCCTCTTGGATCCGATAGTGCGATGACGCGGGATTAGGAGAGGAGCAATTTGCATACTTGTCGCAAAACTCGGGGTCGACTTGGTAGCCGCGGATGAAGCTGTCCCGCAAGTCATCGTTAATCTCCAAAGTTGAGTAGACTGCGGTACAATGGTTCGGACACCGTGAAAGAGCAGCCGCAAAAAGGTTTGACTTGCTTGGAATGTGGTCGGGGAAAAAGTCAAACTGGTCGATGAAGGTCATCCAACGGGCAATGGTGTTATTGACCGTGTCTTGGGTCTTGTAGAAGACCAATGGATTGTTATCCGTTACCCATCGGAACTGTCGTCGACCGAGAAAAAAATGCCATCAGCGCTTGAGCGCATGTACGAAGGGCCGAAGGCCAATAATTCATTTTTTTTAGCGTCGTCAATCGAGTGCACGACGGACACTTTCTTGCTAAAGTACTCGATCGGGTGCCAGTCCACACCGTCATGTTGCTCGAGGACGGCACCAATGCCATAGCCGGACGCATCGGTAGTGACACGTGTCAACAAAAACGGATCGTAGATGCGCAACACCTCCACGGATAGCAATGCGGCTTTGAGAGCCAAAAATGAAGTTCGCTCATGGTCGTCGAAGTCGAATGGTCGGTCCTCGCATTGAAGCGTGGATAAAGGAGCCGCGATCTTCAAGTATCCCTTGATGAAGCGTTGATAGTAGTCGGCTAAGCCAAGGAAGGGACAAACATGTGTAACGGTCTTCAACTCTGGCCACTCTTGGATGACTTGAATCTTGTCGAACAACGGACTGATGCCCTCCGGTGTGGCAAAATGACCCAAGTATTCCAGCTCTTGCCGGACAAATTCGCACTTGTCATGGTTGGCTTTGTACTTGGCATGGCGGAGCGTCTCCGACACTCGTCGAAGGTGCTCAAGATGATCCTTCAATATCCGGCTATAGACGAGAATGTCGTCTAAATAGATTAGTACGAACCGGTCCAGCATTGCACGAAACTCGTTGGTCATTGCCGCTTCAAAGATCATCGGGGCATTGGTGAGGCCGAAAGGCAAAACTATCCACTCAAAATGCCCGTACCGCGTCTTGAACGCGGATGTGTAGTAATCTTGCGGGCGTATTGAGATTTGATGGTAGCCCCACTTCAAGTCAAACTTTGAGAAGAATTTTGCGTCACCCAAACGCTCGAGAAGGTCGTCAATCCGCGGAAGAGGTCCCGCATTCTTGACGGTTTGTGCGTTGAGCTTGTGGTAGTCGATGCACAAGCGAAGATCCTTGTTCTTCTTTCGTACGAAGAGAACTGGCGCACCATATGGTGAGCTACTAGGGCGGATCCAGCCCTTGTCCAACAGATCGTTGAGTTGTGCGCGGAGGACCGCGAGCTCTTCCTCGCTCATACGATAGATGCATCCTTTCGGCGGCACTGCACCGGCCTCAAGAATGATCTCGTGGGAGATCGGTCGATCCGGCATCACACCGGTAGGAGACTCGAAGATGCCGGTGAACTCGTCGAGCAGCCGCACCACTCGGGGTCCAAAGACAAGTCCGTAGGTGAAGATTCGGTCGTCATGGCGACTCATAGAAAACATAGGCCTATTTCGTCGGCCCGCTCGTAAGCGCAAGTGACCCGAAAAGACTTGGTCGTTACCACTTGGCACCGGATCGAGGAGTGCGGAAGAGGAATGGCACACGGCACCTCGGCGCCGAAGGTGTCGCGAACAGTAAGTGTCCGCTGATGGAAGTTGACCATGTGATCCGCACTCGCAAGCCAAGGCATCCCCAAAATAATGTCGAAGTCCGCGTCTAAGATGTCAAACGTCACCGGTTCGCATGTATGAGGTGCAAAATAAACCGGTGTGAGGAAACCCGGGGAGGGCCGCCTACCGCTCGTGGAAGCCAGGGGCTACAGCGTTTGTCACTCGATGCACCCGCTTCCGAGGTCCTCAGCGAGCGGCAGGGACCTTGAGTTTGCGCTGTCCTGTCAAGCCTGCACTTAATGACTGTTTTTTAACGCACACAAGAAATAATTCATATCACCTACCGTGCCAGCAATGGAGATCACCGTCCTAGGTTACAACTCTCCCCCAGTCTCCCGTCCCCAAATAACAGATCCGCAGGACCGATAGTGAGGCTTTAACTGCAAGCTTGGGAAACAAAAGATTCTTACCTGCTCTCACTTTCGCACTTATTAAGCCGAACCCCGCTTTCACCCCGCTTTCACCACTGAGGCACACCTCTTGTTTCCCCAAACGAATCTGTTAGCACACTTACACTTCTGTACCCTGGCAAAGTGTTTCACGTCTCTGTTAGAGACAGTTAAAGTTTGATCTTTTTTTTTTTTTTTTTT